TTGAGGCCAGTTTGTTCTACGTAGTGAGTTCCAGGCCAGCTGTAGCAGTACAGTGAGACTGTTGAAATGCAGCACCTAAGCAGCCATGCTTCTTACAAACAGAACCAGCATCTAAAGCTTCTTACAAACAGAACCAGCGTCTAAAGCGTATGTCTCTAGTGTTGCCCATGGTATCGGCACACAGTTGGTAGTCAGTGAGACGATTGCAATTATTGACTTCCTATCTCTCTACTACAGATTGAGCATACCCAATCAATTTCAATATCCAAAATGCTTGGTAACTGCCAGCCTGATGGTATGTAGTCACACACTGGGGGTGTAGCTCAGTGGTAGAATGCCTTCCTAGCATTCACAAGGCCTTGTTCCATCCTCAAAACCACATTGTTTTTCTTAAAAGAGAGAAGCCAGGGGATGTAGCTTAGTTGGCTAAAGCCCTCAGTTAATCGCTAGCATTCAGTGAAACCAGGCATGGTATCCTATACCTGTGATTCAAGTACTTCCTGGAGGTGAAGGCAGGTAGATCAGAAGTTCAAGGTCATCTTTGACTACATAGGAAGTTCTAGACCAACCTCAAATGCATGGAGCCATGTCTGCAAACAAGCAAAAGCCATGAAACGCCCAAACTCTTGTGCTAGGTGTGGTAGCATGCAATCCTAGTATTTAAGAGCTGAGGCAGGAAGATTATAAATTTTCAGCCAGTCTGGGGGTCCTACTGACACCCTCTTTTAAAAACTGGATATGGTGTCTGTAATCCCTCAGCTGAGGAGGCAGAGACAAGAGGATTTCTATTAGTTTGAAGTGGTCCTGAACTTGCTCTTTAGACCAGGCTGGCCTTCAACTCAGATTAGCCTGCCTTTGTCTCCCCAGTGCTGGGTTTAAAGGCATGTGCCACTACCACCAGCTCTAATAAGATCTTACTGTGTACATGCAAATACTCCCAAAATTGAAAATTCTGTCCCAACTAATGGAGGGTGATTTTGAACTTCTAATCCATCTGCAGAATTCTACCTCCCAAATGCTCAGATTACAGACTAGGATTATCAATGGTTTATCAGCAAGCCCAGTGTATGTGGTGTTGGAGATCCTGAAAACTCTGTAAGCATTTTAACTGAGAGCTGTGTCCCAGCCTCACAGCAGTGCATTTGATGTGGATATTCTGTGTAGTGTCTATTAAAGCAGTTTTCTAGCTGCTAAAATTTTATTTGTATATGCGAACTATTATTTTAATCATAGGAATTTCCAAAGGCAGGAAAGAACCCTTCTGCTGAATTTATCCTATAAAGTGTAATCATGTCCTTTAAAAAAAATAACAACCTTTTGAGATAGAGACTTGCTCTGTATCCCAAGCTGGCCTCAAACTCAAATGACCCTCCTTCCTCAGACTCCCAAGGCTGAGCCATCATTCTTATCTTCAAAATATAAGAACAAGATTATTGTTGGACTTTTTTGGGCCTCCAGTTCCCAAATTATGAAATGGAGACTTCTTACTAATTATGAATGCCTAGTGTAGCTTAGGCTTGTTCCCAACTTGCTCTTATACTTAAATTAACCTGTTTATATTAATCTATGTTCTGCCACATGACTCATTACTCCCTTCCATACTATACTTGCAATTCCTTCCAAGTCTCACTGGCTTAATCCACAAGCCTTAATCTTCTTCCCGAGTTCCTCTCTCCCCCCAGAGTCCTGCCTATTCTTTGCTGCCTAGCTGTTGGCCATTGAGCTCTTTATTAAACCAATCAGAAGGTGCCTTAGGCAGAGACACATCTTCACGGTGTAAGAAAAGATTGTTCCACAATATGAAATATATTGCAGTAATCTTTAAATAAGATCTACTGGCTATGTTTTTTGTGATTCTCCCTGCTTGAATGACAGTGTAATTTGTGGTTAAGTAAAAAGGTTAGTTCCGTTCATTGAGCACAAGTCTTTATTTTTCTGGCTGTCAGAGAAATGATATTAAATCATAGTACTTTCCCTAACTAAACTGTCATATTATTAAAACACTTTCCATTTTTCTCTTTCAGTTATGATCACAGAAGTCCCAGGAAGAGGGTGGGGAAGTCATACACTAGGGAGCTTGACCAAAGGGAAGAGCTCTTTCATGGGACAGAGTATTCTTGGACAACTTACTTCCCCCTTGTGTTGTCTGAGGACAAATTTAACATATTGCTGGGGGTTTGGAAACTGTTTTCTCTCTGTCTTGGGAGCCATTCATAATGCTTTGTAAATGACATGCATTGGGGTATAAAAGTATGTCAAGGGCAGTGCAGTTGAATTGAAGAACCTCTGAAGAAGTGTGGAGGCCAGTTGGCATCAGAGGGGAGAGTCCTTGTGCTGGTGATGGTGAGCTTAGGTTTGTGCTTGTCTGGGTTTTCATCCCATTTCTTGGGTGAGGTGACAGAAACTTAGTGGCGGGTATCCTGTGCTGTATGGCTCCAAGTGTGGCCTCCACCTCCAGAAGCAAGCCTCAGACATAATTAGAGCCTGAGTTTGAAAACCTCCTTTTGTTACTTAATATAGATCCAGAAGGTCGGGGATTTCTCTTCCCCTGTCAGCTTGGCCAGGTGATGCTCTGTGAATGGCATCTCAATCGTGTGTGTTTGTCTATTTCAGTGGACATTGTGGGTATGCCCATGTAAGATGGGGTATTCTGGGGATGATGGCTTGTGTGCTCCTCCTGTCTTCCAGACCAGTAGGATGCCTGTTACAACAAAAGGATGAGAGTGCCTTCATGTACCCATCTAGTTGGTATCATTGAGGCTGTGGAGCCTTAGGTGCCGATTTTCCAAGGTCAAAGTCCCCTGTGCTGGCACTTGTGGCAGCATTGGTGCTTTCTGCTCTAATTGTGGTTACAAGGCTATATGTGTATATGCCCGTGCATGTGTGCTTTCTTTCTTTTTTTTTTTTAGACAGATTCTTACTGTGTATGCCTGGCTGCCCTGGAACTTAACAGATATCTACCTGTCTCTGCCTCCAGAGTGCTGAGATTAAGGGAGTGTGCTATAACACCAGGACTGTATGTCTTTCTTCAGGAAAGTTTGTTGGGTTAGAATCTGTTTTGGCAAAGAAACACATTTGACTAGAGTCTCTTGTATATTGTTACACTCCCATTTAGGAACAGAATGGATTTCTTTCCACAAAGTGTTTCATTATTTCAAGGATCAGAGAAGGCTGGCTCTTGTGAAAGTGTGCTTATGGCACTCCCAGTTGGTTCGGAGTTCTAGAACCCTTACTCCCCAGCCCAGGGAGAAAAGTACAACTGTTCCCACTTCACCAGTGAGAAAATGGAGCCAGAAAGATCCTGACTTCTGGGGGTCTCATGCTAGCCTTTGGTGGCCTCAGATCCCTGGTCCCACAGCTGTGCTCTTGACGACCACACAGGAACAAATGCCTTTGAGACTGTGACAGACACATGCTCCTGCACAGTTTCCTCTCAGGAACAAAGTCAACACTGTTCTGACTTGCGGAGGATGCAGCATGGCGGGAAGAGTGGGAGAGGAGCACAGATCTGCAGCTAGGCCCAGAGCAAGGTGACTCACCTAGTGGAGTGTGGGGTTCTGCTGGAGGGCTGGGCCTTCTCTCCACAGACCATTGGCTGCTGTGAAGCTGGTGGGAGCTGTGATTGCCTCTTTGTAGTTTTGTTCCCTTCTGGTTTCTTCACCTCCAGCCTGGCTGTTGGTTTGTTAAGCTCCACAACCCATAATTTTCATAGTTACGATAGTAGACTTGGTGATACATTTGAACTTAATAGATCCCCACTTACTGCTTTCACTTTGAAGTTGGCTTCCTTACCTGTAAAGTTTGCTAATAAACCTAAGAAATTTGCCTGTTCTGCATTTTGCTGTTTTAGACATTAGGGGCACGTGATGTTTTTTGGATTCTTGAACATGAACATGAATGTTAATTTATCCCAAGTTAGCATTTGACATCATGTACTGAAATAACCGTACGTAACAAATGGGAGAGATTAAGTTGGCCTTAGGATCACCAAGCAGTTTGTTGACATTGTCTTGAAAGTAGACAGCTAAAACTCAGAAGAGCGGAGTTCTAGGACAAGGCCCACTGGGCCTGGCCCTGCCCTGCCCTGCTCAGAAAGCCTCTGTTGCTGAGGACTTGTCAGTGTGACTTGTATTTCTGGGGGTACATTCCAGTATTTCCAGGCCTGTGACTATACCCAGGGAAGCCCTCTGGGCATAGTAAAGTGTGTATGCTTTCAACTCTGTGATTCTGCATCCTTATCCTTGATATTAATGACACAGCTGACATTGATGTGCTTCTGTGTGCCTGCCAGCACCTCATGAGAAATGTTTCATGAAGGCTTCATTGTTGTGTGGTAAAGCAGCCCTGTTATTACCCTATTTTATTAATTGTTTACACTCAGAAGTTATATAAATGGTCTAGTCTAAGAGTGCCTTGAGAGTACCCTAGCTAGATTTAGACCTTGGCTACCAGAGCTCAGAGGTGGTGCCCACCTTTGCCATGTTCTGTCCTCAGCACAGAAGCTGAATACACTGGGTATCCATATCCACAGTGTCGAGCAGGTAGTTGGGAGAGTTCTAGAGGGCTCCTTCTTGGGGCTGTAGCTCATTTGGTAGAGTGCTCGCCTAGAATGCATGAAGCCAGCATTAGGTTCAGTTCCCAGCACCACATAGACTGGGCTGGTGGCGTAAGCCTATAATCCCAGCACTCAAGAGGTAGAGGCTGAAGGATCAGGAGTTTAAGGTCATTCTTGGCTACACTTCAAGTTCAAGGCATAGGATATACATGAGATCCTGTCCCAAAAAATAAAGCCGGGCGTGGTGGTGCACACCTTTGATTTCAGCACGTGGGAGGCACATTAACTGGTTCCAGGACAGTCAGATCTATGCAGGAAGACCCAGAGGGAAGAGAGAGGGAAAGTGTAAAGACACAGGTGTTGAGAGGATCTTCAGGGCAGAAATGATGTCAGTGTGAAATCAGACAAATGTGTTTCTCTGGCTTCCACAGCCACCTTGACGTATGACACTCTCCGGTTTGCCGAATTCGAAGATTTCCCCGAGACCTCAGAGCCTGTTTGGATTCTGGGCAGAAAATACAGCATTTTCACAGGTATTGTCCACTTGGCTCTCATGACTTCTGTAGAAATCTTGAGACGGCAATTGTCTGCTGACTCTCACTTTGTCTTCCTCTTTTAAATAACTAGAGAAGGACGAAATCTTGTCTGATGTGGCATCCAGACTCTGGTTTACATACAGGAGAAACTTTCCAGCCATTGGTGAGTACCCTGCTTTTTTAAAGAAATCTTTAATCTTTCAAATGTTTTGGCTCATTTGTTTTTAATCTCCGTGTCTGTCCGTGTCTTTGCGAATGGGGTTACAGGCACATGTATGGAGGTCAAAGGACAATCTACAGTTTTAGTCCTTGCCTTCCGCCTTGTTTTAGACAAGGTTGCTTGCTAGTCATCACTGTGTATGTCAGTCTAGCTGGTCCAGCTCCTGGGAACTCCTTGTCTCTGCCTCCCATCTTCTGTAGGAGCCCTGGGGTTCAGAAGTGTGCTGCTGCACTGAGCTTTATGCAGGTCCCGGGATTGAACTCAGGCCCTCACACTGGCCAGGCATGCTCTTCACTCACTGCGCTATCTCCCCACCTGGAGGACCCCAGTTTTCCACAACCTGGGATGAAATACATCTGCTTCCTATCTGCTTGTCAGCCCGCTGTCACTGGGCATCGTAGTCAGGGTAAAGGTCACCGCAATAATTTTGTTGTTGTTTGATTGTTTTTGAGGCTGGCTCTGTGTTAGTTTGTTTGTGTTTTTTGTTTATTTTATTTTGTTTGGTTTTGTTTGCTTGTTTTTATTTTGAGACAGGGTTTCTGTGTGTAGCCCTGGCTGTCTTGGAACTGCTCTGAAGACCAGACTGGCCTTGAACTCACAAAGATCTGCCTGCCTCTGCCTCCAGAGTGCTGAGATTAAAGGTGTGTGCCACCACTGCCTGGCATCTTTTTTTTTTTTTTTCCCTTTTTTAAACTTGACACATGCTGGGATCTTGACCACAGTGGGCTGGTACCACCCCTGAGCAGGTAGTCTGTAGTTGGCATTTTCTTTGGGTCACCAACCAGCTCCCAAATAAAGACCCAGAGACTTCTTATTAGTTATGAATACTCGGCCTTGGCTTAGGCTTGTCTCACTACCTCTTTTAACTTAATTTAACCTGTTTATATTCATCTATGTTTTGCCTCGGGACTTTTTACCTTTCTTTGATTCTGTATGTCCTACTTTTCTCCTTCCTCTGGTTCTAGCTGACTGGCCCCTGGTGTCTCCCTGTCATCTCTTTTTCTCTCTCCCTCGTGTCTAAATTCTACTTACTCTATCTGCCTGGAAGTCCCACCTGCACTTCCTCTCTCACTTTTGGCCATTCGTTTTTTTTTTTTTTTTTTTTTTTTTTTTTTTTTTTTTTCCCTTTTTTGGGTTTAGGTGCCTTAATAGGCAAGGTAAAACAGCAACACATCTTTACATAGTCAAACTGAGCTGTCAAAAAAAAACCAAGCTGAGCCAGGCCATGGTGGTGCACAGCTTTGATCTCAGCGCTTGGGAGGCAGAAGCAGGTGGATCCCTTGAGAGTTTGAGGCCAGCCTGGTCTACAGATCAAGTTCCAGCCTCCAAAGCTACACAGAGAAACCCTGTCTCGAAAAAAAAAAAAAAACCCAAAATAAAGCAAGCTGAGGGAGACAAGGAGCCAGCCAGTAAGCAGCGTTCCTTCAGGGCCTCTGCTTCAGTTCAGTCTCCAGGCCCTGCCCTGCCTAAGTTCCTACCTGGCTTCCTTCAGTGATGGCCTGTGAGTGATCAGGAATATAAACCAAATAAACCCAAGTTTTGCTTCTGGTCATGGTATTTATCACCATAGTAGAAACTAAACTAGGATACCATGGTAAACAATAACTACCAGGTTGTTAGAGAGGACACTAGAGGTAGAGAGGAACTTCCATTATTTGACCAGTTCTAAACAGCCCTGATGTGAGATGTTGTTTTGTTGTTTTGTTCTGTCATAAAATGACCTGGCAAAAAGCACCTCGGGGGAGAAAGGGCTTGTTTTAGTTCACAGTTCAGTTTACTGTCCATCTTTTTGGGAAGTAAGTCACAGCAACAGGGGCTTGAGATGGCTGCACAGTGCACCCATAGTCAGGAAACAGGAGTGAGCTGATCTAAGTGTGAATGCCTGTGCTTAGCTCACGTTTTTTTTTTTAAAGATTTTATTTATTATGTATACAATCTTCTGCCTGCATGTGCTCTGTGCTCTGTAGGCCAGCAGAAGGCACCAGACCTGATTCAAGGTGGTTGTGAGCCACCATATGGTTGTTGGAATTGAACTCAGGACCTCTGGAAGAGCAGCCAGTGCTCTTAACCACTGAGCCATCTCTCCAGTCCCCTCAGCTCACTCTCTTTCTTTCTTTCTTTTTTTTTTTTTTTTTTTTTTTTTTTTTTTTGGTTTTTGGAGACAGGGTTTCTCTGTGGCTTTGGAGGCTGTCCTGGAACTAGCTCTTGTAGACCAGGCTGGTCTTGAACTCACAGAGATCCACCTGCCTCTGCCTCCCAAGTGCTGGGATCAAAGGCGTGCACCACCAACACCTGGCTCAGCTCACTTTCTTAATACAGTCTAGGAAACAAACCCAGGGAATAGGGCCTCTCATGTTCAAGCTGGGTTTTTTCACAGATGTGCCTATAGGCCAACCTGATCTAGACAATCTGTGATGCTTTAAATAAGAATGGCTGATTTGCTTGAATGCTTAGTCCCCAGTTAGTGAAACTGTTTGAGAAGGATTAGACAGTGTGGCCATGTTGGAGGAGGTATGTAACTGGATGTGGACTTTATTTCAAAAGCCCATGCCAGGCCTAGTCAATCTGTCTCTCTCTTTCTCTTTGCCCCCCCCCTCTGCCTTCCCCCTCTCTCTCTGTCTCTCTCTGCAGTGTTCAGGTCAGATGTGCGTTCTCAGCTACTACTCCAGCAGCATGCCTATTTGCCTGCCTTCTTGCTCCCCAACATGATGCTCGTAAATTAACAGTCTGAAACTATAATCAAACCCACAATTAAATGCTTGCTTTTAGAAGTTGCCTTAGTCATAGTGTTTCATCATAACAATAGTTCAGTAACTAAGACACAAACCTGTGTTGAGATTCTCTTTCCAGGTGTCATAGTTATTTTTCAGTTGCCATGACAAGGCATCACTACTAAGGTAACTTTGCAAAGAATGTTGGGGTACTAGGGAAACCAGGAGTGTTAAACATGCAGAAGCATCTCCTCAATGGAGGAAATAAAAAACCTGCATTACACCTAGAAAGCTGAGAGTGGATGCTGTTGATGGCTTGGTGACCTTTTGCTATCTAGAGCCAGACCTCACCCAAATCCCCCAGAATGTTTATTCCAGATTCTCCCCTTTAGACCTTTGTCATAGATCCCAGTCAATAGAGCCCATCCTCAGGGGAGATGTCCATGTACCATATGGCCTGTTGACCTCTGTGTGTTTAGGTCAGAGACCACACCAGACCTCAGGCCTTCGCGCTATAGGACCCATCGTCATGGTCACACGTACTTTGTAATGGAGTTTCTTTGTAGTCACCCTTTAAGCTTTATTGTGCACCAGGAACTGGAATGATTGTTGCTTAGAAACTTTTTCTCAGATTGTGCTGTGTTTAAATATGCTGACAATAAACTGCCTGGTGTCAGACTCAGACAGTCTATGACAGACTGAACTAAGTTTTCGTTCTCACCTCTTTGCAGTTTGGTTCGTTTCTCTGCCTGTCATGATGCTTGCAGGGACCCCCACAAAAGAAAGGATCTAATTTGGGACCCTTGGTTCCAGATGGTTAGAGTCTGTGACCATCATGGGAGGGAGCATACAGGCAGACTGGCATGGCACTGGAGCAAAGGCTGAGGGCTCATATTTCAGTCCACATGCAGGAGGCAGAGAGAGTTAACGTGGGCTTTTGAAATCTCAAAGCCTGCCCACAGTGATGAGCCTCTTCCAGCAAGGCCTCACCTCCTAATTCTTCCCAAACAGTTCCTCCAACTGGGGATCAAGTGTTCAAACATATGTGCCTGTGGGCCATTCTCACTCAAACTACCATATCAGGTGATTGCAGATTGTGTCAAGTGGGCAATTCAACCTGACAATTAAAGCAGCTCATCGTGGTACTATGAACCAAGTGTGGCCTGCATATCCCTGAGTCTTGTAGAGATATTGTGGATGAGAGTGGTGACCGGTACAGAATGGGGGAAAGCCTATCCTCTGACCCCTGAGTTTCTTGTCCACAGTTCACATCACATCTCTGCTTCTCACTGCCGCATAGCCTGTTCCTCCTCCTGGTAGCTGCACAGCGCCATTGCCCTGAATACCTGCTGAGAGCATTCTCCCCATTCCTGTTGTGTTTTGTCAGTCTTCCAAGCCCCAGTGAGTGAATGTCAGTGGAGGAGCTCAAAGCACAGGATTGAAAGATCGTCATTACGACTGCTACTGACTACCGTAGCCCTGACTGCCGGCAATACTTGGCATCAGTGGCCTTTTGCATTTCTGCCTTTCTGGTAGTAGGAAATGATTCTCCTACTTTAACTCTGTGTCTTCCAGAGTAATCATGGGGAGTCTTGTTTGTGGGCCAGGCATTCCTATCACTGTATGACAGATTGTTTACATTTTGCCCATCATAGGGGGATTGTCAAGACATTCCAGTGTTAAGGATTAACTATGTAAAGATGTGTTGCTTTGCCTGTCTAAGGCACTGATTGGTCTAATAAAAAGCTGAATGGCCAATAGCTAGGCAGTAGAGGGATAGGTGGGACTGGTGGGCAGAGAGAGTAAGTAGGGGGAAAGAACAAGAGAGGAGAAAGAACCAGGGAGAAAGAGAAGGAGATTCCCAGGACCAGCTAGCCAGACAGACACAGAGTAGGACATAAAAAAGGAAGAAAGGTAAAAAGCCCTGAGGCAAATGTAGATGAAGAGAAACAGGTTAGTTTAAGTTATAAGAGCTAGCAAGAAATGAGCTAAATTGCCAGGTGGTAGTGGCGCATGCCTTTAATCTCAGCACTTGGGAGGCAGAGGCAGGGGGATCTCGGTGAGTTTGAGACCAGCCTGGTCTACAAGAGCTAGTTCCAGGACAGCCTCCAAAGCCACAGAGAAACCCTGTCTTGAAAAACCAAAAAGAAAAAGAAAATGAGCTAAGCTAAGGACAAACATTCATAATAATAAGTCTCTGTGTCATAATTTGGAAGCTGGTTGGTGGCCAAAAGAAAGCCTGCTACATTCTACTTCCCAGAGATATGGGTCTTGCATTTCTGAGTCCTCAGAGTTGTGTTTTGAGATGTAGCAGATATGGAGCTGTCCAAATGCCTCCTGTTGCTGGACTCCTGGCTTCTGTTGGGCCCTCTGATTGTGAATGCTTCTTGTTCTGTCTTCCACACAGGGGGAACTGGCCCTACCTCAGACACAGGCTGGGGCTGCATGCTTCGCTGTGGACAGATGATCTTTGCTCAGGCTCTTGTATGCCGGCATCTTGGTCGAGGTGAGTCACAACGCTTAAATATTAGGGGTCTGTGTAGTAAGAGATGTTTAAAGCACATGCTAGAAGCTGGGTGTGATGGTACACACCTTTAATCCCAGTCCCAGGGAGGCAGAAGCAGGTGGATTTCTATGAGTTGGAGGCCAGCCTCGTGTACATAGAAAGTTCCATGCCAGCCAAGGCTACAAAGCTGCCTTGTCTTACAAAAAAAAAAAAAAAAAAAAAAAAAAAAAAACAAAAAAAAAAAACCAGAAAACAAAACAAAAAAGCCTATCATAGGCAAAACACAGATATATGGTGCTTGTCTAGCATGGCCAAGGCCCTAGGTTCGCCTTCCAGTACCAACAAATTGTGTGTGTGTGTGTGTGTGTTTCTTCCCAGTGAAAACCAGTGGGCCATACATACTCAGTGCTCATGCCGTGGAAAGCCCATTCAAGAGTTGTCTTCGCTCTCTGTAGGAAGCTTGCAGTGCTCATCACATTTTTTTTAGCCCTCTTTTTTTTATTATTTAAAATTTTTGTTTTGCATACTGAACACAGTTCACCCTCCCTCCCCTCCTCCCATCCCTCCCCTCTGTACCTTCCTCAGCCCCATCCCTCATCCACTCTCAGAAAGGGTAAAGCCTCTCATGGGGAGTCAACCAAGTCTCTGTGGGTTTCCTCGTTATGATCTAGATCCCCCCTTGCTCGGATAACTCCTTCTCCCTCTCTTCAAATGGACTCCTGAAGATTAGCCTGGTGCTTGCCTGTGGATCTCTGCATCTGCTTCCTTCAGTTGCTGGCTGAAGATTGTATGGTGACAATTAGGGTGGTCACCAATCTGATTTAAGGAGAAGGCCAATTCAGAAACCCTCTCCACTATTGCTAAGCGTCTTAGCTGGGGTCATCCGTGTGGATTCCTGGGAATTTCCCCAGTACCAGGTTTCTCCCTAACCCCATAATGGCCCCTCTATCAAGACATCTCTTCCATTGCTGTCCCCTCTGTTCCTCCCCCAACTCAACCATCCTGTTCTCTCATGTTCTCATCCCCCATCTTCTCCCTTCTCCTGCCGCTAGCTCCCCCAGTTTACCCAGGAGACCTCATCTATTTCCCCTTCCTGGGGCAATCCACTCATCTGCCTGAGGTTCTTGTTACCTGGCTTCTCTGGGACTATGGATTATAGCCTGGTCACATGTTACTTTACATCTACTACTGTTAGACCCTCAGAAAGCTGAGGCTTTCAGAATCTTAGTCCAGGACGGCGGCCACCCCAAACACAGAATGGAGGCGAACGCTTGATGCAAACTGCATGAGGCTTTATTGTAGTTTTACGAGCTAACCCCATGTTAGCTCGGGTCTTTCACCCACCCGCCATGGCAGACGGCTAAAAAAAGACGGCTCCTTGGGTCTCCCAAAAGATCTTATAGGGCAGCGTAAGGGGAGTGTCTAGGGGTACGCACAGGCTCACGATTGGTGTGCCTCCAGGCTTGGAGGGCTTGCCCTGTGTTGATTGGTCAACTGGTTGTTATGGCTCATAGGCCCTCCCAGGGTGGTTGCTATGCTCTCTACGTCATTGTCGTGCGCTTGTCCGTAAAGCACACCCAGGGTCGTAAAGCATAGCGCCACCAGCTAACTTCCGATTGGCTCCTTGTCACGAGACAGGCATCTGACTTTCTAGTGACTAACTTCTGATGGGTTCCTTGTCACGAGACAGGCATCTGACCTCTACGTGACCAAGGTAGGTTTATGGCAAGCACGTGTTCGGCTGTTATGGCTGCCAAAAGGGAAGCCGGTTCCTTCACTACCCACTTAGGAGTGAGTGCATACTGAGTGTGTCTTCCTGTTCAGTCCTTTTCTTACTTAATAGTTTAATCCAGGAGTTCACTGAGTTGCCCAGGCAGGCCTTTGTTGTTGGTGGTATTTTTCTGCACTTTGACTCTTAGCTTTTTTGGGTTCTTTATTTTTCTTACATTATTTCTTATAACTGCCTGGCCTTAGCGTGCTTTGTTTCTTGTCAGCTTTTCTTTTCTTTCTTTTTTTTTTTTTCTTTTCTTTTCTTTTTTTGAGACAGGGCTTCTCTGTCTCAGCCCTGGCCATTCTGGAACTCACTTTGTAGACAGGATGGCCTTGAATTCACAGAGATCTGCTTGCCTCGCCTCCCAAGTGCTGGGATTAAAGGTGGGCACCACCAACACCTGGCCTTGCCAGCTTTTTTAAAATTATCCTGAGTACCTTTTGCCTCTGGGCTCTTTCCTTTTCTTACTTCTGTAAATCTTAATTTCACTCTTACTCTGGCTGGCTGGTTGTTTGGCCCCTGACATCCTCCTCTCTTTGTTCAGTCTTCTTTCTTTTCTTTCAGATTTCTCCTCCTATTTCTCCTCTCTGCCTTCCAGTCTCATCATCTATCCTTGCTTCTGCCTCCATATTGGCCATTCAGCACCTTATTAGACCATCAGGTGTTTTAGACAGGCAAAGAATCACAGCTTCACAGAGTTAAACAAATGCAGCGTAAACAAAGCAATGCATCTTTATATCCTTAAACAAATGTTTCAGAGCATAAGCAAATGTAGCACACCTTAAAATAATATTCTTTCTTAACTGGCCTTGAACTTGCAATTCTCTTATGTCTTAGTTGGGTTTCTCCTGCTGTGATAGAACACCATGACAAAAAGCAGCTTTGGAAGGAATGGGTTTCTTTCATCTTAGAACCATCAGGTTACAATCTGTCTCCTAAAGGAAGTAAGAGCAGTAATTCAAGGTGTGAACCTAGAGGCAGGACTGAAACGGAAGCCATGGAGGAGTACTGCTTTCTGGCTTGCTCCTCAGGACTTGCTCAACCTGCTTTCTTAACAGTACAGAACCACCTGTCAGGGTTGGCACCACCCAACCCATCCCACAACAGTCGTTAATCAAAAGGCTCTAAAGACTTTTTCGTAGGCCACTTTGTCTAGGCATTTTCTCAATTGAGAGTCTCTCTTTACAAGTAACTCTAGCTTGTGACATAAAACTAACCAGTTTATCTTGCTTTAGCTGGGATTATAGGCCTGAAGCACCAGGCCTGTAATGAATGAATGAATGAATGAATGAATGAATGAATGAATGAATGTAGGTATGTATGTATGTATGTATGTATGTATGTATGATGTATGTATGTATGTATGTATGTAAAAACCCATTTATTTCTAGCGGCTAGGCAGGTTTCAGGCAGCAGCACGTCTATTGGTCTTTCAGTTCCTTCAGTCTTCTGATGGCAGACTTCACTGTGACAGCAGATGTAGTGTTTTAGGTGCAGGCCTCACCAGCCACTGTTTTCATGCAGGAACCACAGTGCCAGATGCCAACGGCTAGTCTCCTCATCTTGGTCTTGCCACAGAAAGAGCAAGTATGCTTGGCGTGCTGGCTGATTTCAATTTTCACCATTTTCCAGAGGGAGGCACCATAGTGGGTCCTGTATTTCCTAATGATCTGACCTTCTTGTTGCGTTTAGCCATATCGCTGGAACCCAAGCCCAAGCCTGGAGAGCTTTTTTTTGTTGTTGTTGTTGTTTTTTGTTTTTTTTGTTTGTTTGTTTAAAGAAATTATCTTTACGCTGTTGAAACAGTTTTCTGCTTTCAGACTAGATTTGTTTTGATGAGCTAGTGTGTGCATATTTGAAATCCTGGAGAATTTGATTTTTAAATTTAATAAAGTTCACAGATAAAGTTTTGTACACCATCTGGATATTGAGCACTGTGTAAAAGGAAGGTTTGTTACTTGTGTAGGGGGTCAAACTGACATCCTATGTTTTGTTTCCAATAGACTGGAGATGGACTCAGCGGAAGAGACAGCCTGACAGTTACTTCAACGTCCTCAATGCTTTCCTCGACAGGAAGGACAGCTACTACTCCATCCACCAGATAGGTGGGGATTAAGTGTGTCCCAGACATGGCTCTTTACAGGAAGCAGACTCCTTGGGTCTCCTTGGGAGCTTTCCAAATCTTGTAGAGATGGAAGATGAGGCTCTAGGTCACTTCCTAGCCTCTGACCCTTTGAGCTGCTGGTGGTGTTCAGTTCTAGCTCAGATCCAAGCCTACCCTGCCCCTGCCCCTGCCCCTGTACAGCCTTCAGTGACTGATTCCGTGCAGTCTGTGGGTTAGGCTCCTCCTCAAGGTTTGCTTTCCTTAGGAGGGTAGGTGTCTTGTCTAGACCTTTCTATGAAGTGTTTACTGATGTACCGAAAGTCAGGCCTGGTGTATGTGTGGTATATGTAGACTTTTCTGTGAAGCATTTACTGATGTACCAAAGTTAAGGCACTTTATCTAGAATGGATGTGTTTGCTAATATGGGTCTGTTTCCTGCAGCGCAAATGGGAGTTGGCGAAGGCAAGTCTATAGGCCAGTGGTACGGGCCGAACACTGTTGCCCAGGTCCTCAAGTACGTAATGAGCCCAGCCCTTCTGCTTCTTGGGGTCAGCATGAGTTCTCCTTGGCATTTACCCACTCCTTGAGTACTTATTGCCACAGGAAATAAGGTATTCTGATTCTTTGCTTATAGACCCGGGGAGTCCTCTGAGTGACTAATGCCTATTGTTCTGTGAATGGGATTCATGTTTAGGTCAGGGCCTAGCATGGCCCTGTCCTTTTTGTCTTGGTGTACAGATCCATCTGTAAAGAGGGCGTCTCAGATCTGGAACCATGGCAGTTCTGGTACTCTGTCTGCAGGTGCTGTAACTCTCAACATCTTTGGATTTGTCAGAGATCAGAAGATTCTACATGTTGTTCAGAATTTGTTGGAGTTTGTTTCTCATGAGTCCCTCCCTGTCCCTTCCTGACCTCTCTGTGGCCCCAGAGTCTGGAACTCAGTCAGCCTTGTTCTGAGGGGCATTTGCTCCAATATTTCCTCTGAAATGGCTCTTTCTGTTGTTTTCAGGGACATGCACTTGCCAGTGTCTGACCCCTCAGTGGTTTTGTTTTGAAGATTATTTTTGTATGCATGAGTATTTTGCCTGTGCACATCACACATGCAAGGCTGACAGGAAGGCGAGAAGAGGTTGTTAGATCCCCAGAAGATGGTTGTTAGTGGCTGTGTGGGTGCTGGGAACTGAACCTGGATCCTCCGCAGGAACAGCAGGTGCTCTGAACCACTGAGCCATCCCCACGTTGCCCACACTTCCCTCCCTGCCCTGCTTTTTGACCTGATTCACTTTTCCCTGTGGCTTCTGGGAGGTTCTGAACCAATGTCCAGGACTCACTCATGTAGGGCCCTTTTCCTGTTGGGCTGAAAGCCAGTCTCTCTCAAAGCTTTTTCCAGCTGTAGTTTCTCCTGGATGGTCCCCTGACACCCTGTCCTGTGTCTGCAATGGCCATCTCCTACAGGCACCAGCTGGCACTTCCTTTTCTGTATCTGATGCCCAGCCATCCCAAGCCGTGGCTGGCTGTGAATCCTTGACTTGGCTTCTTTGTGGCATGCATACGTACTCCATACCCTTTAGCATCCGTTTCCAAGTCCTGCTTTGCCTTAGTGATTTTCTATTGCCATGACAAAACACCATGACCAAGGCAACTTACAAAAACTGAACCGAAAACAAAACAACCATTTAATTTTGGGGGCTCAGGGTTCCAGAGGGCTAGAGTCCATGACCAACATGGCAGGGAGCGTGGCAACAGGCAGGTGGGCAGGCAAGCATGGCGCTGGAACAGTAGCCTAGAGCTTACATCTGATCTACCAGCATGAGGCAGAGTGAGAGCTAACTGGGAATGACAATGGCTTTTGAATTTTCAAAGCCTACCCCCAGTGACATGTCTCCTCCAACAAGCAGGACCTCCTAATCCCTTCCAAACAGTTCCCCAACTGGGGACCAAGCATTCAAATATATGAGGGGAGCAAGGGGGCAGTCCTAATTCTCAGTACCACACAGCTCTTTAGCTGGTGATATAGTTCACAGGGCTGCCACATTACTGCTGGCTTTCATTGCAGCTCTAAATAGCCTGACCAGTTCACCGGCAGTGCTTTGCTTACCTCTGCTGCCCCACTTTCCGTCTCTTTCCCACAGGCAAAGAGCAGCTCCTTTTATTTACATCTTTCTGGAAATGGCAAGTCAGGCTGCTTATCCATGTCCCAAGATCCTCTGCTTTTGTTGGTAGATCACTTTTCCTCACCTGTGGCTACATCTGTGTCCTACACACAGGGAGAGGGTTACATTCCCCAGCTCTGTTGCATCTCTACCTGGAAGTTCGTGAGGCCTTTCTATCCCGTGCTCATCCCTCCTCTTTCCTCTCCTGTCCACAGCTTGTCCCATGCTTCATTGTTAATCCTCTTTCTCTCCTCTTAGACTTTTTCAAATAATAACCAAAGCCATATCCATAAAACTCAGCAGCCCTCTCCGAGGCTCTGGCTGCCCTCGGTGTCATAGCTGGTTGCCCATCGCGACCCACCCTCTTCCCCTGAGCTTACTCTGCCCTGACACACCCTTGGATGGCACATCTGTTACTCATTCACTCCTGCTTTAGAACCTTTGTGTAACTTATGCTCCTAGCCTAGTAGCTCTTCCCTGAGGCCTGCCTAGCCTGCTCCCTGCCTCTGCTGACCACAGTCTACATAACCTGTGCCTGCCCTACTTGCTTGCTCCCCTGCCTGCCTTTACAGACACATCAGCACAGTGAAGTGCTGCTTTGACTCTCCTGGGTCCATATACTTGCTGTGGTGGCAGGGCATGATGGGTAGTGAGGAAGTACTGGCTCTCCTGAGTCCCTTCCAAGTTTCCAACGTGGGGAGGGGCTGTGTGTGGTTTCTCTAGTGCAGTGGTTCACAACCTGGGGGTCACACGCAACCCCTTTGGGGTCAGATGACCCTTTCATAGGGGTCTCATCAGCTATCCCTCCTGCTTATCAGATGTTTGCATTATGATTCGTATAGAAGCAAAATTACAGTTATGAAGTAGCAATGAAAATAATTGTTTGCTTGGAGTTCACCACAGCTTGAGGAACTGTATTAAAGGGTTGAAGCTTTAGGAAGGTTGAGAACCGCTGCTCTAGTCCTTCCAGGCATTGGCCTCTTGTTGTGGTCCTGGACATACCAGGGCCTTGCAGCTTAGGTCCTTGGTAACTAACTGTCCCCATGACAAAATGTCCCTCCTTGCTTTCTGTCTTCTCACTGGTTAATAGACCTCCTGCCTCATCCCCATGGCACCCAATCGACACCTCTTCTGCATAGCATGGCTGCAGTCTGCTCTTCTTTCGGAGCTATAAGTCTGCAGCCATGCTTCTTCCCAGCTGGTGCTGCTCAATAGATTTCTGGGGCTGTCAGTTCGGGATGTGAGATGCTCAACAGTGAGCTGGACCTGCCTCCACGCAGGTGACACTTGAGCTGCTGTGCCACATAGGGGCTCCTGTCCATACTCGTCACCTGGCAAAGGGCAGCTGGCATTTCCCTGGTGAGCAACACCCAGCTTTCTGCCTGTTTGAGTTGCTGGACAAATCTTTGACTTCAACTTTGACACTGCCTCATGACTGTGGCTGTGATGGTGCAGTGCTCACCTGTGGAAGCTCATGGAGTGTTCTCTCGCTTTCTGTAGGAAGCTTGCTGTATTCGACACGTGGAGTTCTTTGGCTGTTCACATAGCAATGGACAACACTGTGGTGATGGAGGAGATCAGTAAGTGTGTGGCTCAGGGTGTGGCTGAGAGGGAGCCTCAGCTAGGGAGTTCAGTCTCAGCAGCACTGGCTCTCTCAGCAGTGGAAGCCTGCAGGGGACGTCAGGAAACCCCATTCTCTTACCGTGTCCACTAGTTAGTGATGTGTGTGTGCTGCAGATAACAAGTTAAAGCTGAGGAGAACAGCACAGGCCACACAAGGGTGGTTACAGTGGGAGAGTCATTTTAGTTCATGAATTAAGGCCAGGAAAGTCTTAACAAGAAAAAAAATATGTTAATGTTGCTACTTTTCATTGTATTACTGCTCACATGAGATGCCAGGAGGGCTTTTCAGCTGCCCTGTTTACAGCAAAGGAAGCCTGAGAAGGGAATGCATGGTTCTGGAATGAATGCCTGCCAGCAGTTTGAGGGGAACCAGACTCCCACACTCATTTCTATGGGGAAAGTGGCGCATGCTTGTAATCTTAGTGCTTAGAAGATCAGGAGTTCAAGGCCAGCCTGGGCTACATGAGACCCTAAATCAAAAAGCAAAAGTAGCTGGGTGTAGAGTTGTATACCTTAAATCCTAGTAACTGTGGAACTGCATAGTTCCAAGCTAGCCTAGGCTACTTAATGAGACACTATCTCAAAAAATAAACAAGCAAAGGGCATATAGATGTAACTCAGGGTGCATTTCTTTTTTTTTTTTTTAAGATTTTATTTATTTGTTATATATACAACATTCTGCTTCCATGTATATCTGCACTCCAGAAGAGGGCACCAGATCTCATTACGGGTGGCTGTGAGCCACCATGTGGTTGCTGGGAATTGAACTCAAGACCTCTGGAAGAGCAGTCAGTGCTCTTAACCTCTGAGCCATCTCTCCAGCCCCAGGGTGCATTTCTTAGACTCAATTCCTAGTCCAGCCACACATTAACAGAACAGAAAAATAACCAAAACCTTACATAGTATTAAAGTAGTTTTCCCCTGGTGTTGAACATGTGGTAGCAGCTGGGTGGTGGTAGTGCACACCTTTAATCCCAGCACTCGGGAGGCTGAGGCAGGTGGATCTCTGAGTTCAAGGCTAGGATGATACACAGGACCAGTTCCAGGACAGTCAGGGCTGCACAGAGTACCACCTCCCTCAAAAAAAGGGAAAGAAACAAAACAAAATAGTAGTAGTAGTAGTAATAATAATAATTAATAAAAAAAGAAAGAAAACAGTATCTTTTTAAACATGTATTAAAGACTGTTAATACCGCAAAAGTCTATGGAACTGTTGTTCTTAAAGATTAGGGTGTGGGTGTGGGTGTATGGATGGATGTGTGCTCACAAGTCTTTGGAGGCCCAAATAGGCCATTAGATCTGGGGATGGAGTCACAGTGTTTGTGAGCATCTGGGCATGGGTGCTAGGGAATGAACTCAGGTCCTCTGCAAGAACAGCAGGTGCTCTTTACAGTTGAACCATGTCTGCAGTCCCTATAGTAACTTTTAGGTAAAAAAAAGTTTGTGTGTGTATGCGTGCCCATGTGCAGATGCATGTCTGTTATAATGTGTGTTTGCCATGTGAAAGTCAGAGGACAGCTTTTGGGAGTTCTCTCCATTCACCTTGACCTTTGGGACTCTGGTCCTTGGGGTTGCATGGCAAATACCTTTTACCTGTTGAGCCATTCTCCCACCCCTGGTGTAACCTGGGTGCACATGACACTGTGGGAGCCATGGTGATGGCAGTCTCTCCCGTAGTCTCAGGACTGTCTGGAATATGAACACTGAACCAATAAGCTCATGAACTGAGGCCTTGTCATGAGGATGTGGATCAGATCCTAGGGAAGGAACCTGAGTCTGCATCTCTGACAACTCCTGGTGGGTGCTGAGGCTGCTTGGCGGTGACCAGGACCCTGTCAGAAATGATGTGCTCGTTATAGGACAAGGACAAAACATCTGACTCTGAATTTAGGAAAAATTCCATCGGGACACGATGAAGGACAGAAGTTTCAGGTGAAGAGGCTGGGGTCCCTGAGCATGGTGTAGTGTGGCAGGAATAGGAAGGCAGTTCTCGGTTGTTGTGACAGTTGCTTTTGGCTTTTGAGGGCATTCGAGAAGACAGGAAGCATGCTGGTGAGATGGCACTTCACCAAATCTGATGACCTGGGTTTGATTCCTGTGACTCTACATGGTGGAAAGAGAACCAGCTTTTCAGTTTGGCCTCTGGTCTCCACACATGTGCTGTTGCACGCATGTTCACATACAGACAGATAAATACAAACATGGTTAAAACTTGTAAAAAGAACAAGCTGCCTTTTTATTCCACTACTAAAGGTTGCCCAAAATAGCCCATTTCTTAGAAATGGCAGCAAAGCTATGGGCACAGCAGCAGCATGGTTTCTTTCCTTCTGACTTCTTGAGCGGCTTGTGAATGAACCTTTAGGGAAGAACTGGCATCTTTCCCAGAGGCTGCCAGAACCACCTTCATCCTGAGAGCTGGCCTATAGCAATCCCATTCGGATTTTAGGAAAAGTATGCTAGCCGAGGGAAGCCTTTCTGGCTGAAATGTCATAAGAGGGGAGGGGAGAAGAACCAAGGGAAAGCCAAGACAGCTGAAATTAAGCTTCCAAGTGGCAGTTGAACAAAATAGAACAAAATGTTTGCAGTGAAAATTTCCAAAGGAATAAAAGAAAGATCTTCTCACTTAGTCAAAATTGTCTCTTTTGGTTATTTGGTTTGTTTTGGTTTTGTTGTTTTTGGTTTTTTGAGACCGGGTTTGCTTTGGAGGCTATTCTGGAACTCTTGCTCTGTAGCCCAGGCTGGCCTCAAACTCATAGATATCCACCTGCCTCTGCCTCTCGAGTGCGCTACCAACGCCCGGTGTCTTTTGGTTTTTATGATTCATTATTTCTCTCCCACTCTTTGTGAGGGTAGGGTGGGGGTACCCACAGACAGCCAGAAAAAGGAGTTGTGGGCCACCCAATGTGGGTGCTGGTAGCTGAACTTCAGTCTTCTGGAAGAGCCTCAAACACTCCTAATAGCTGAACCATTTCTTCAGTTCTTAAAGTTGAGTTCTTAAAGAGTTCCATATTTATTTGTTTGTTTTATATGTTTGTTTTAAAGATATGTTTTGTTTGGCAGTGGTGGCACCCATTTTTAATCCCAGCACTAAAGGCAGAGACAGGAGGATCTCTGAGACCAGCCTGGTCTACAGAGCGAGTTCCAGGACAGCCAAGGCTACATAGTGAGACCTATGTAGAAGTGAGACACAGAGAAGCCCTATCTTGAAAAAAAAAAATTAATAGATAAATAAATTCTAAAAGAGGCTCTGGTATGTGCTTAGACGTTAGAAAATTTAAACAGTGGTCTACTGCCAAGCCTAACAACCTCCATGCAGTCCCTGGAATCTGACTCCCACCCTTGTCTGCTGACCCCACACCTGTGTTTTGGCATGCGTGTGGCACACATTTACATGTGCACACACATAGTGAGGAAGTAATGATGATTTAAAAGCTGGTCGTGATAGCTCACACCTTTAATCCCAGCACTTAGGTGTGGGCAGGCAGGTCTCTGTGAGTTCAAGGACAATCTGGAGTTCCAGGCCAGCCAAGGCTACATAGTGAGACCCTGTATTAAGATGATGATGATGAGGGAGCTGGAGAGATGGCTTGGTGGAGAAGAGCACTTGTTGATCTTGCAGAACCAGGTTCTGTGCACCACTTGTATGCCTTATGCCTGCAGAGGCCATAGCGGGTGTGGCATCACCTGGAACTGGAGTTACAGACCATTGTGAGTTGCCTGCTGGGACTCTGGCTGCCATCTCTCCAGCCAGCGCCTAAGCACTTGGTTTGCAAAACACTCTCCTTGAGAAGAACTCTGTCTGCCTCTGCTTAGCTCATGAGAAATATGTCTTCCCCTCCAGGAAGGTTGTGCAGGGCCAGCCTTCCCTGTGCAGGGGCTGCTGCATTTCCCACAGACTCAGAGCGGCACTGTAATGGGTTCCCTGCTGGAGCTGAAGTCGCCAACAGGCCATTGGCCTGGAGACCTCTTGTGCTCCTCATTCCTCTCCGCCTGGGACTTACAGACATCAATGAGGCCTATGTGGAGACGCTGAAGGTGAGTCTTAAGAACAGTTCTTAACCTGGGCCCCATGCTTCCAATTTTTCATCTGTTTCAGTGTGGTCAGTTAGCTATATCTCTAGGAGACGGGCAGGAAAGGCCTTAATCTCATAGGTGATGCCGAGAATTTCAATGTCTAGAGCTTTATAAAGGGTTTTCAAGACAAGTCAGCCTGTTGTTGGCATCAGGGTCTTATGTCTCTACCAGGTCTCTGCTGTGCCCTTCCTGGGTATCCCTTGAGCCTCTACTTAGGACTGGATCAATGGTTCTCAACCCATGGGCTGTAACCCCTTTGTGGGGATTGAACAACCCTTTTACGAGGGTCCTGTATCAGATATATCCCGCACAACATGAGGAGCTGTATTAAAGGGTTGCAGCATTAGGAAGGTTGAGAACCCTCCACTGGTGTGGAGAGTGGGTAGCCCCATGAGGATGGGAACTGCAGACAAATACCTACCTCTTTGCTTTCTCCCACCCTCATCACTAAACAAGCCGCACTTGAGAGCCTTATTAAAATCTTTAACTTTTAATCGCCTCTCCATATTCAGGTAAAACCAAGTACAAAGTCTCTCACTTACCTTGGTCTTGTTCTGTCCTTCCATATCCCTTGACTGTCCTGACCATTCCCTCTGCTGTAGGTCCCAAGATCACTTCCTCTGTCACTTCTGCTTCCCGCCACTGATTTCCCATTTTTATCTGACTGGCCTCCTGTGTCATTTCTCCATTCCCATTGGGTCAGACTGATGTCTGGCCAGGCTACCTCTCCAGTGTACTTCTTACATTTCCCACTCAACACCTGCATGTTAGTCCACAAGCTGTTCCCCGCTGCCATCACCTCTCCAAAGTTTACCCAGAATGAACTGTAAGGCTGTGGTGTGTGCTTTTGTACTGCCTGTACTGGAAGCGCTTTGGGATATGTCTTCTTGGTTTTGGAGAGGGTGGGGGTTTGAGGCAGGGTTTCTCTGTGGCTTTGGAGGCTGTCCTGGAACTAGCTCTTGTAGACCAGGCTGGTCTCTAACGCACAGAGATCCGCCTACCTCTGCCTCCCGAGTGCTGGGATTAAAGGTGTGCACCACCAACGCCCGGCTGGGCTATGTCTTCTTGTTTTTCTTCTTGTGTCATTCAGGTAGGCCTCTGGAGACCATGGCCTGCCTGTACTGCACTAGTTAGTGTTGGGACTGTGGAGGGGACAGTCCTCTTGCGTGCTGTTGCGAGGCCAGTGTGCTCAGTGGCCTTCCCTCTTCTCTCCTGCAGCACTGTTTCATGATGCCCCAGTCCCTGGGTGTTATCGGAGGGAAGCCCAACAGTGCCCACTACTTTATTGGCTATGTGGGTGAGTCTGATTTGCATGCTATGGGTTCCCAGGGATGATCTGTCTCCCCGAGGATGGGTTTTTTCCTGTGGAGTTGTATTGTTAATTCACTTGCTTCCCCCTGGCTCATTGTGGTGACGTGTACCCCACTCCCCCTGATATTTTGACTGCTGACTCTGATAGGGTGGGTCTGGATTCTGGCCTGCTCCCTCCCTCTTGCCCAGCTCTAGCCAGCTGTCTCTGACTTCTCTATCATCTTGTCCAGGTGAGGAGCTCATCTATCTGGACCCCCATACTACGCAGCCCGCAGTGGAGCTGACTGACAGCTGCTTTATCCCTGATGAGAGCTTCCACTGCCAACACCCCCCCTGCAGGATGGGCATCGGAGAGCTCGACCCATCCATTGCTGTGGTATGTTCCAACCAGGCAAACTCCTAGGCAGCTGTTGAGACATTCTGGGCCAGTTGTGCAGTGGGATATAAAGGCAAATGTCTACATTTTAAGAGTTTCCAGCATTTTGGAGTGTTAGGTTTATATAGTGAAGGATCCTCTTTATCCTCCCTGAGTGTGTGCACGAGTGTTGCCTGGGCCAAATGTGAGGGCGTGTTTTCCTACGCTGTAACATGCAAATGACAGCTCGTTAGTTTTCATCGTCATCATTTTGTTGTTTGTTCACTTAATGTATTCCCTTGAATAAGCTTCTCCATCTCTCTTTTTGATGATATAGTAGGGATTTTAGATGATTTATATAAACCTGCCCACTCGAAATGTGTTTGGGGAAAGAGGATGCAGAACCAAAAATGTCAAAACAGTGCCTTACCCAGGAAAGTCATTGCCTAGATAGGCTGCACGTCCTGTTGCTCATTGGCCAAGAGTTCAGTGTGTCTAGTACCAATATACGGCACTCACACAGACACAACACCCAGTGTGCACTCTGCCACATGTGCCCCTCCCAAGTTCTGTGGAGAGTAGGCTGGGGCTCTGGCTCAGACCTCCTGCAAAAAGAAGCCACTGGTGAATCCTCGGCTAACTAGAGTGTGTGTGCATTACAGTACGTGCCTCTCAGCCCCTTAGTGACTAGTTTTGATGTTCTACCACTGCCTAGACAGCTACCCTTATAGAAGATGCTAGACACACGGGGCTGGCAGGTGCAGAGCACCAAGTGTGAGCCCCAACCCCAGCTTTTGAGAGCTGAGATTGAAGGGAACACATGGTGGAATCACTGTCTCTGGTCACCATGGGGTAGGCCTCCCATCATTGGGCAGTGTCTGTGTGTGTGAACCAAAGCATGGGCAGAGCAGACAGACAGCCTGGCACAAATTGGCAAGTGCGTGCCATGATCTCTGTGACAGAGATCACAACTTCATGCTCATATGGGTGTAGTCACTATTCTCACAATCGTTTTCATTTTAGGGATTTTTCTGTGAGACTGAGGAAGACTTTAATGATTGGTGTCAACAAGTCAAAAAGGTCTGTAGCTGCCCCTGTCCAGAGCCAAGATGAAACTTCTGGGGACCCAGGCAACGAGGTGGCTGGGATAAAGGGAATTTCTTTGCATGGCCTAGCTAGCAGCCCCATTTCCTGGTTGCTTGGGGAGTTTTGTTCCTGCCTCACACATGTGGGCAGGCTGAGCGGGGCAGGTGCCTCACAGTGCTGTTATGATTTGATCACCTCTTACGTCAGTTTTGCACATTAACTTTGTGGTAGGGTTCTGGCCCACTCACCTGCCTCATTTGGTTATGGGGTGGCAGTAAATCTTATGCCAAAGGCTGCCCTCCACCAGTTCTTTCCTGGTGTCTCCCCTGTGCCTTCTATGATCACGTATGCCTCATGGGTGACAGCCTGTGCTGTGTTGACCACTTGGTCTATGCTGCAACCTTTGGTGTGGATACCACTTCCATTTTCTTACCTGTGAAATTAGAGCTCTGCAGGCTGGAGGCTGCAGTGACTTGTCAAGGTGCACCTAACAGCTGTGTCTCACTGGCAGCTATCCCTGCTTGGTGGTGCCCTGCCCATGTTTGAGCTGGTGGAACAGCAGCCTTCCCATCTGGTCTGCCAGGATGTCCTAAACCTGTCCCTAGGTAAGTGCTCATGCTGCAGAGCCAAGTCTAGGTGGGATGGCCTCCTAGCCCCGTCTCTTGGTTCATGTAGTCTGTGCCTGCCACAAGCCCTTCGGGTCTTGGTCTTTTTCCTCTTAATCATTAATCTTTATATGATCCCCAGATATAAACAGTTGTTGACAGGACCCTGTCGAGCACCCCATGCCTTAAACCCTGAGCTTGGCAGCAGCACAATAGGTCCATATTCTACCAGGGGCTGCTGACTGAGACATGTTCCACAGGTTTCTGGGGTTTTTGTGATGATGAGGTCCAGTGTAAAAGCCACTGGGGATGAGCAGTCCTGGCTCTTTGGCCTATAGCTGGAGGCAGCTTGGATCTTATGGGCCAGCACTGTAGAGTTCAGGGACTGGCCTTGGGAGACAGTGGATGGAGGCCTGGCCAGACTGCTCATTCCTCAGCTGGTACAAGGAGTGGGTGCCCTCATCCTCTGGGCTGCTGCCAGAACCCATCACTTGTCTGTTGGCAGGAGACCGATGCTGTTCTCTTCTCTTTCATGGAGTTCCCCTCCCTCTTTAGGGCCTTGTCACTTGCTCCTGGTCTGGACCCCTTTATGTCTGTGGAGACTCTCCGGTCAGGAAGGGGCTTACAGGGCCTGTTCTAGTTTGTCCCTCTCCTAACATCTTCCCAGATGACACACATGCATGCCACCTCCCGAGAGATGCTAATGTTCTGTCTTGCTCCTTCCAGATTCTTCTGATGTAGAGAGGCTGGAGAGGTTCTTTGACTCTGAAGATGAAGACTTTGAAATCTTAACCCTCTGAAAGTCCTGGGGTTGGGGAATGGCCTCCATGGCCCTCATTGGGGTGCTTTGAGAACCCAGACTGCCTTGGGCACTCAGTGTCCCCGCATTCCATCCACCCAGCCCACCCCTGCCGAGTGCTGTGCGCCTGTGCCACCTCTGTCCAGAGGGCCTGCTCTGCTCATGGACCAAGGACTGCGGTGCTTGGAGGCCTTACTGCTTGGAGTCAGACTGCCTAACCCCAAACACACCAAGGGCCTGTCCACATAAGAAGGCCTAGTCAGGAAGAGCCGCGGGTCAGGAGCTTCCAGAGTTCTCACTTGACACTGCCAGCCCTGGTCAGCACGTCAGCTTTGGTCCTGCTTTCTCCTGGGCACCTGGGTCTGTGGTTTATTTGGCATTAAAGCCCTGTTTGAAGTTGTTTAACAAAGACATGAATTTCTGGGGCACTTCCCAGGTCAGGGTTCAAGGCCTGCAGGTTGACGAGTACAGAGAGACAGCCACAGCATGGCCTCATTCCGCTGGGCAGGGTGAGCTCTGGGCTGTCTCCTCCACCCAGTGTGATTATCAAGGGCTACCTCAGTGGGAGAACATATGGAAAGAACTACAGCAAGGCTGCTACTTGCTTTGGAGAGAAAGTATTCCAGTGGGGAATGCGGAAAACCCAAAGAAGACAGTGTGTGGGCAGTGTGGACACCTGAGCCATGGGGCAGCTGACAAGCTCCCAGGGCATCTGGAGCCGTGGTCCTAAGGTTCCCCATTAGGACCTCACTAGGGAAGAGGTTTGTTTCCTGTAAGGGGCTGATGCATTTTCCAGTCACACTGCCTGCTGCTGTTAGCTTTCCACCTTAGGAGGGCTTCCCCCTGGGAGGAGAAGAGGGGAGCAGAGCTACTCTTCGCTTGTGACACTGTGCCTGCTGGTGGTAGGGTGCACACTGCTACTTGAGCCTAACATGTTCTTGCCCTTCTCAGAAACCCTCCAGGGTAACAGAATTTTAGATGGTTTGGGGCCAGAAATGCTAAAGAGCTATGGCTCTTGGTGCATGGTAGACATTTAAACAGCAGGGAGCTCCAGGCGCTAGCAGGCAGTGTCCAGACCCTCCTTGGCACTCGCTTCCATATCTGCCACCTCCTCACCCTGGCTTTCTGGGCCTTCAAGCTTTGATGCTCTAGGACTACTGTCTTAGAGGCCTTCCCTCCCCTAGGAGATATGACAGGGCATGACAGCGTGGGATGGCCCTTGTAGGAGCTTTTGCATAAAGCCCTTTCCTAGGAGCCTCCCTACTAATGGGTGGAGCCGGAGCTGCTCCTTGATGGCCTATGCCAGATAAGGCAACTCTTCAGTGGCCCACAAAGTAACAAGGGATACCCCCCTGCTCACCAAGTGGTTAACGTAATTTATTTCCTCTTACTCTTTCTCCTACATCTGGTTCCTTAGCTTCAGGTGGGATGGGGCTGGGGGGAAGGCCAGGACAGTTTCCATTCCTCTGGAGCTCTACTTCCTGGGTCCAGTAGCCATTGTGCTATGACCCAGGGTCTTGCTGATGGTACCAAGGATGGATGTGTAGAACACCACAACCTGAGGGAACTCTCAGGGCTTGAGAAAGGCTTCCTGAGGTTGTTCATTCTTAGTAGTGTAGTTTGCAATTCTTAATGGTAAATAATAAGTTTCAGTAGAAAACAAAGTTTATGTGTGTGTGTTGATTTTTTTTCCTCCAGTTATAGTTGGCTGTGATTTTAGTGTGGACAGGTACAGATTTTCCCATTTTGGACATGTAGAGCCTGCCCTGCCTCTGGCTTAGCTGTGTAGCCAATGTCTGTTTTCCCTCATATTGAGTAAAAATGTGTCCCTAAAAGGAAAAGATACAAGGAGAACATGATTTTTTAAAAAAAGAAAAGAAAAAAGAGCCAGGGGGCTGGAGACATGACTCAAGAGTTAGGAGCTCTGACTTTTCTTCCAGAGGACCAGCCCCTACAACTGGCAGCTCACAACTGCTTATGACTCCAGCTCCAGAGGATCTAACCCTCTCGCCTCTGTGGGCACATACACATAGAAATAGTAAAAATCTTGCTTAAAGCCAGGCGTTGGTGGCACATACCTTTAATCCCAGCAATCCGGGAGGCAGAGGCAGGCGGATCTCTGTGAGTTCCAGGCCAGCCTGGTCTTCAGAGCAAGTGCCAGGATAGGCTCCAAAGCTACACAGAGAAACCCTGTCTCAAAAAACCAAAAAAAAAAAAAAAAAAAAAAAATCTTGCTTAAGCCAGGCGGTAGTGTCATGCACCTTTATTCCTAGCACTGGGGTAGGGTGGGCAGAAGCAGGAGGATCTCTGTGAGTTTAAGGACAGCCTGGTCTATAGTTTCAGGACATCCAGAGCTACACAGAAAAACCATCTGGGGTGGGGGTATCTTGCTTAAAAAATGAAGGTGGTGAAAGACACCCACTTTGCCTCACCTCACCTCAGGTTCCCTCTAGGCAGGCTGTACCTGGCTTTGGCCTGGGGGACAGCCAGGGTACAAGTAGAAGACTGAGAATCATCTCATCCTGCCTGGTGAAGTCTTGGTGGGACAATTTCAGATGATGCCTCCCTGTTCTTGAGTCCAAATAAAGGAGAATTGCTGACCCAAGGACAATGACCCAAGGGGAGGTTCACCTCTCATTCTCTGCTGGCTTCTTAGGGCCTGTTGTGACCACACAGCACATGACATGACTCACTGCTAGAACTTGTTAAATTTTTGGAGGGCAAAAAATGCAGACAATGCTGGGCATTGGTGGCGCACGCCTTTAATCCCAGCACTCGGGAGGCAGAGGCAGGCCGATCTCTGAGTTCCAGGCCAGATTGGTCTCCAGAGTGAGTGCCAGGATAGGCTCCAAAGCTACACAGAGAAACCCTGTTTCGGAAAACCAAGAAAAAAAATGCAGACTATGACAGGACTTATTTCTCCACATCCAGAGGCTTCTACATTCCTCTCAGGCCTGCAAATGCTCTGTATCTCCTGACCTTGGGAGCTTGTTAAGAGGCCTGTGATGACCTAGCCTGGCTAATCCCCTCCTTTTTTTTTTTTTTTTTTTTGAGTGCCTCATTGTATAGACCAGGCTAGCCTGGAACTCAAGATATCCACTTGATTCTGCCTCCTGAGTACTGGGATTAAAGGTGTACATCATCACACCAGGTAGCACTCAGCATCAAGATACTAACTATCCCATGCCATCCATCTATCCTCTTGATCCTGAGGGGGAAGGTGCTTCACCTCACCAGCAACTCTCTACACATACAGGCTGTATTCTGCCAGGAGATGTCAAATCACCCTGTTTTGGAGGGGTAATGTGAGAAGCTTGAGCAGCACAAATAAACCCAACAAAGTTATTACCAGTGGGTCTAGAATGTTGAGCATCATGTCTCTTGATAAGCCGGCAACGCCTGAGGACACAGACGCACAGCACGGAGCCTGGTAACATTGCTCCACCCCACAGCAGGCAGACCCATCTCTACAAATCCTTAGCAGAAGCCAATGAGGTCCATTTTCAAGTACATTTTTATTAGTTTCTGTAAAACACGTGATTCCCAACTAATTGATGTTTTTAGTGAACTCAAGGAAACTGCCCAGAGTTGCCACTAAAGTTCAGTATGGAAATACCATAACACCTTTAGCATCAAGGAGTGGGCAGAGGAAGATATTGCACGACTTGTCTGTATCACCAGAATCTCAGGTTGTGAGTGGAGGCTTGTAGGTCTCTTCTACTAAGTACTAGCTCCTGTTGAACAGTGGTGTGAGTCTTCTCCCTGCCTCCTAAGGCCCCAAGAACGGTATCTGCAGTGGAAGCTGCAGTTTATTTCCAAAGCTCCTCCAGTGGACTCTGTGCAGCACTGCGGATGGCGTCCTCAGAGAGCACCCGGATTTCTTCATGGACATCCTCAATGCTTTTGGAAGCATCAACCACCTGTCACCACAGTGAGACAGTGGAGAAGGATTACATCACCTTCCCTCTATTCCCAGTGTGCATGGTGACCCCAGGTGAGCCAGTGCCTGCAAAAGCCAACTTAATGCCTTCAGGGACCCTCCCTCCACAGCTTTCTCTGGACCTGGTGGTCTTGGCACACAGCAGCCTGTATACCCACCACATCCCAGACACGGAAGCCGGGTGCACTAGCTGCCCATCTTGCTCCTAAACAGACTGAGCAACTCTCCTCCTGTAAGAACAGGTTCCATACCAGGCATGGTGACCCACCCTTTATAGTTCCAGCACTCAGGAGGCAGAGGCAGACAGATCTACTTGGACTACATAGTGACTTCCAGAACAGCCAGGGCTATGTAGAGAGACCCTAAAACCCAGTTCCACCTTTCTTGAGGGAACTCCCAAGATGTCTGATAGATGCACAGCAGGGCCCCATCACCCTGGTTTGCTTTCTGTCCTCTTGGACAGACCTATCCATGTGCAAACCAGCAGAGTTTGAGTAAGTGTCAGCATCTCCAGGTCCTGCCTCCTGAAGGGGGTCCGGCATGGGGTTGGAAGAATAGCCCAGTGTTAGGTGAGACCTTAGGTTCTTTAGCTAGCACCACTACCACCACCAAAAAGTCTGTTGGCAGAGAACCACAATAGCGCCCCTGAGGTTTCACAGGTGGGTAACCTAACTAACCACAGCTGTGCCGATGTCGGCAGAGGGCAGACTACCACACAGCTTCTCAATGGCTGTTTTGTAACCAGGACTCACCTTCCAGTTCAGGTTTTTATCTTTCATGAGCTGCTGGAAACACAGCAGAACCTGCTCCTGGAAAGTCCCAGTCTCATAGCGCTCGAGACCGAACTCTCCCCGTGCAGCGGCGTCCAGCAATTGTAACTGCAGAAACAGGATCAGGTCAGGCTTGGGAAGGCCCACGTCTGGTTGTTTGCACCAATCCAGGGAAAAATTCTGCCAACAGTTAGAGAAAGCGAAACTGAATAGGTTATACAATCCTGGAAATAATAAGCTGGAAATAAGAGCTGCTGGCATCGCAGCTTGTGCTCCGCAGTCAGTCTATGAACTCATGACATCCTGGACCCGGTTTCAGAATAAGACATGGCATATGTAGACATTCTGGTGGTACATTCAGCCTACAAAGTCTGAGATGGAAAGGAGCTTGTTCTGTTTTTATCTGTATTCCTCCCGATAAGCACAGAAGGCAACTAGCAATCCCAGAAACTCACTGCACCCTCATGGTTGCCTGCCTGCTAGATACCATGTACACGGAAGCCCACTGCACGCTTGCCTACCTGATCTCATGTACATCTTCCCACTTACTCATCACCTTGTGAAAAATGTGTCTTCCAGAAGAAAAGTAGGACTAGAGGCCATCCTATCCCCCAGAAACACTGTAAGCTCAAGAAGTAACCCCAAAGACCTACAGGGCCAGTCATCTGCCCGGCTTCCTAATACAAACAAAATATTTCACTGGGGAAGGACTCCAACATATGTAAAAGGAACAGCAGAATTTAAAAGGTTATTGTCACTTAGCAATCTGTCATCCTCAAGGGCTATTATATGAAGACATGATCAGACCCCATCTGCTTCTTGATGAGAGGACCCAGCACTCTTACAAGTTTACACAAGTACAAGAGGAAAATGTAAAGCTAGGTGTGGCATCAGCACTTGCAAAATGGCAGCAGGAAGACTGTTCACACTCATCCTCTGCTACACAGTTCCAAATCAGGCTGAGCTGCAGGAGACCTCGTCTCAAAACCAAAACAAACCCAAACTCTGGCGCTTTGTCGATAGAAGCAGTTCAGGGTTATTATTGGCTATAGTGAGTTCAAGGTCAGCCTGAGACTGTCAAAAAAAAAGAAAAAAAATTAAAACAGTAAGGTTTGGGGGAGATGCTGGGCTTTGGTGGTGCATACCTGTAGTCCCAGTACACCAGAGGCAGAGGCAGGCAAGTCCGAGTTCAAGGCCACCCTGGTCTACAGAGTAAGTTCCAGGATAGTCAGGGGTACATTGAGAAACTGTCTCAAAAAAACAAAACAAAAAAACAAAAACAAAAACCAAAAAAAACCCACCACCACAACAAAAAAACACTAACGCAAAGATTTGGAGTAGATGAGCAAGCACATGCTTTACCAGAACTACATTTTCCTCATGGAGAGACAGCTCATGCTTTACCAGAACTACACTCTCCTCATGCGGAGATGGCTCAGCTGTTCTTCCAAAGGGCCCACGTTCAGTTCCCAGAACCCACATGGTGGTTAACAGCTCCCTGTAACACCAGTTTTGGGATATGGACATGACACCCTCTTCTGGCCTATGTGGATGCAAATGTGCACATGGAGGCAAAACACTCATACACATAAAAGTAAAATGAATACATCTTGAAAGCAATAAGAATAAAAAACTCGAGCTGGGCGTTGGTGGCGCATGCCTTTAATCCCAGCACTCGGGAGGCAGAGGCAGGCGGATCTCTGTGAGCTTGAGACCAGCCTGGGCTACAAGAGCTAGTTCCAGGACAGCCTCCAAAGCCCCAGCGAAAACCTGTCTTGAAAAACCAAAAAAAAAAAAAAATTTTTTTAAAAAAAAAAAAAAAAAAAAAAAAAAAAAAAAAAAAAAAAACTCTTGGTACTCAGAATATTTTAAATGTGAATGTGGGAACTCCCACATCAAGAGACTTAAGGGACTGCATATATGCCTTAGTGGTAGAGCAATGGCTACTATGTGTGAGGCCCTAGATCAATTCCCAGCAGGAAAAAAACAAAAAACAAACACTCGGGCCACAGAGAAGGTTCAGCTAGTAAAGGCACTTACTTATTACCACATGGCCTGATACCTGAGTTAAATACCCAAAGCTCAGTTTAAGGAGAGAACAAGTTCTCCCAAGTAGGCCTCTGTTCTCTACATATATGCTGAGGCCCACATGCCCTGGCCTCCATCTATACACACAATAAATAAATAAATAAAGATAAGAGAGATATAAGAGGCACTTCAATGCATGGACCTTAGTCAGATTCTGGTTTAATAAACATACAAGGCAATTAGCCAGCTCTTGAGAGCTGGGAAACATGAACAACACATGTTCAGTGACAGATATCTGTGTTCGGGCAGGATGCAATTTTCTTGGACCAGAAGTGGTGCCTCTCTCCTATAATCCCAGCACTCAGAAGGCCGAGACAATAGGATTACAAGTCTGAGGCCAACAATATCTACCTAGTCAGCTCACCGTCCGTCAGTTTTGTCTACAAGAGACTCTGTCTCAAAAATAACAATTGTAGGTGCTGTAGAGATGGCTCTGGAGTTAAGAGCACTGGCTACTCTTCCAGAGGACCTGGATTCAATTCCCAGCACACAAATGGCAGGTCAAAATGGTTTGTAATGTCAGTTCCAGGGGATCCAATACCCTCTTCTGGTCTCCATGGGCACCAGACATACATGCAGACAAAACACCCATACAGATAAAGTAATTTAAAAAATCCAATCCTAGAACTAGAGAGTGAGTCTGAGGTCAGCCAGGACTACATAGTGAATTCCAGACCAGCTAGGAAGGGGCGAGCTAGGCCTGCAGCCCTTAATAGAGAGCCTTAGTCTAGGGAGTTTTCACTCCTTGGAGACTGATAGATAGGCTCTTGGACCCTGACTGGCCCAGCAGACAGACAGACAGACACACACACACACACCACACACTACATCTTAGGCGTATACCAAAACATTTATTAAGAACAACAATGCCACCTGATCCAGAGCAGAGGATGTGAGTGTCCTTGAAGCTGTGATACTACTGGGAGGTTTTTGTTGCCAAATACCTGAGGTTTAAAAACTAAAAAAGAATTGTCAGATGTGGTGGTGCAGACCTTTAATCCTAGCACTTGAGGCAGGGGGATCTCTATGATTTGTGGTGAGTCTGGGCTACAGTGAGACCTTGTCTTAAACACAAATGGCAGAACTGTTTTTAGAAGTAAAAAGGGGCAGTGCAGCCACCACCATTACACAGATGAAGCAATGTGGAGGAAGCAGAGGGATCAGGGAGGCGGCTTCAGTATCCTCGCCATTCTACAACCCCTCCCAAAGTGGGGCAGTGCATGAGAATCTAACAAGGAAATCTTCAGATGGAAAACACAACACTGTGTGTGAAAAACAAAATACAAGTGCATTTCTTTATTGATTAAGAACCAATTTAATCTCGAAAGAGAGTTAAAGGAATGCCAGAGCCATCAAATCCCTAAGAGAAACTTGCACACAGACTCATTGTGGTCGGTGACTCTGAAAATGAAGAAAAGCAGATCAGGGCCCACCTGGCAACCTGAAACAGATGCCACAGCGTACTCACCTCCTTGGCGCTAGTGAAGGCAACCCCAGAAAAGGCGTATCTATCCAAAACAAGGGTCACACCCTGGTTCAACTTTGCCTTAATCAATGGCCTGAAAAACAGAATGCTCTTGAGCCCTGGAACTGGTTTCCCAAAATATCCCAACTTGGAAATTCCATACAATGACAATTACAGCACAGTGATTTATACTTATTTACAAAACTGTACATCTTCTTTCTAGACAGTGCCAGTGGACACTTCCACCCTGCCCTGCCGAGGGAAAGAAGAACCAGCAAAGAGCACAGGATGGCAGAGGGCATGGGGAGCCAGAAGGTGAGGCTGACAACTGTGCCCAAGTCTGAATTGTAAGTATAAGAACAGACAAAATTAGGCAATGGTGGTGCTCTTAATTCCAGCATTTGGAAGGCAGAGGCAGGCGGATCTCTGTGAGTTCCAGGCTAGCCTGGTCTACAGAGATTCAGGACAGGCTCCAAAGCTACCCAGAGAAACCCTATTTCAAAAACCATAAATAAACAAACAAACAAACAAATAAATAAATAAAGCATCACTGAAACCACAAAGGCAAAGTCAGATTCATCTCACTTGGCACTCCTCACAGGAGGCATTCAGTTTTGATGGGGGTGGGGGAGAAGGTTGAAATAGGTCTGACTATGTAGCCCAGGCAGGCCTCAGACTCTTTGGTCTTTAGGGCATGATGGCACATACCTGTTAACTCCAACACCTGTGAGGCTAAAGCAGAGAATCCCAAGTTCCAAGCCAAACTAAACTACATATACAGCAGGACCTTTAAGAGTTTTCCTTTTTTAAGATTTATTTATTTTATGTATATGAGTGCTCTATCTGCATGTATGACTTTATGTTAGAGGGCATCAGATCCCATTACAGATGGTTGTGAGCCACCATGTGGTTGGATGGAATTGAACTCAGGACCTCTAGAAGAGCAGCCAGTGCTCTTAACCGCTGGCCATCTTTGCAGCCTCAGTTTTTTAATGTATGGAGCTAGACTCAGTAATGTGAACATAAAAAAAGAAATCAAGCCAAGTGGTAGCAACTCAAGCCTTTAATCCCAGCAATCAGGAGGCAGAGGCAGTGGATCTCAAGTATGAGACCAGCCTGATCTACAAATAGTATTTCAGGTCAGTCAGGGCTACACAGAGAACCCCTGTCATGAAAAAAAAAAAAAAAAAAAAAAAAAAAAAAAAAAAAAAAAAAACAAGACAAACAAAAAATCTAAATCCAGATCTTACAAATTAACTTAATGTAGACCCTGGACCTAAATATGAAACAGAAAACTTCTGTAAAGAAAGAGAAAGAGAGCCAGGCGTTGGTGGCACACGCCTTTAATCCCAGTACTCGGGAGGCAGTGGCAGGCGGATCTCTGTGAGTTCAAGGCCAGCCTGGTCTCCAGAGGCAGTGCCAGGATAGGCTCCAAAGCTACACAGAGAAGCCCTGTCTCGAGAAAACAAAAAAGAGAGGCTGGGTGGTGGAGCATGCCTTTGCTCTCAGCACTAGGGAGGCAGAGGCAGGCGGATCTCTTGAGTTCAAGGCCAGCCTGGTCTACAAAACTACACTGAGAAACCCTGTCTCCAAAGCTGAAAGATATCCAGGGTGGGGGTGGGGTGGGGGTGGGGTGTTTGGCAGATCCCTTCAAATTGAGGCCAGCCTGGAGCTAGTTCTAGGACAGGCAGGGTTACACAGAGAAACCCTTTCTTGAAAAACAAAACAAACAAAAAAAGAGATCTAGAAGATTCTGGTGCACACCTTTAATCCCAGCACTTGGGAGGGCAAATCTCTTTGAGTTGGAAGTCAACCTGGTCTACAAAGCAAGTTCCAGAACAGCCAGGGCCACACAGAGAAGAAACCCTGTCTTAAACCAAGAGAGAGAGAGAGAGAAAACCTGGATGCCCTTGGGTTTGACAACACTAAAGATCAAATCCATGCAAGGACTGACACAAAATTAAGAAGCTGTGCTGTGCAAGAGACTATCAAACAAATGAAAATGCAAACCCCAGAGTGGGAGAATGCACAGAAGGCATTTCTGACCAGCTAAGGATGCCTCCTTAAAATCCAACAAAGAAAACAGTGGGCACTTAAAGGCAGGAGGCTTGCCTTTAATTAGAGCATGCCCTGGGCTACAGAGGGAAACACTATATCTGTAAAAAGAAAAAAAAGTTAGGGGCTATGGAGATGGCTCTGTGGATAACTTGTTTGTCATGTAACAATAAGGACTTGAGTTTGGATCCCCAGAACCCAAAATTAGTGAGCTCAAGGTTCAGTAAGAAACCTTGTCTCAGCTGGGTATGAGGCCAGCCTGGGCTACAAGTTAAAGGATAATCAGGGATGTTATACAGAGAAACCCTGTCTCAAAAAAAAAAAAACCCTAGGAACCCATCTCAGGGCTGGAAAGATGGCCCAGCAGCTAAAAACTCTTGCTGTTCTTGCAAAGGGTTCAGATTTGGTTCCCAGCACCCACATGGAAGCTCACAACTGTCTGTAACTCTAGTTAGAGATCGGGCTACAGGCATGAATGAGGTGTACAAGCGCATTTACACTACAGAATGTATATATATATATATATATATATACAGAGATCTGCAAGTTACAAGGGGGAGCAGTGATCAGTGAGCCAATGTTTACACTTGTTCCCAGCGATTTGCAGAGAAGAGCAGGTGCACGGAGTGGTCCTCCAGGTCTGTTTTCTTTTCTAGGTAGGAACTCAGGAGCTTGCCGATTTCTGTTGATCTTTCTAGAAAGAGAAAATTGCAAAGGCTACGTAAGTGGGGCTTTTCACTTAAACTATACGATAATCTACACTGCAGTTTTCCAGTTGAACTCCTATCTAACTCTAAGCTTTATTAAACCTCTAGACAGGTTTGGACCATCTCTGAAGAAGCCAGGAGTTTCCCTGAGAGAACGCAGTGTTGTGCAGAAACCATATTAGTAAGTCTTGATTTCAAAAGTACTCTTGGGCCGGAGAGATGGCTCAGAGGTTAAGCGCACTGGCTGCTCTTCCAGAGGTCCCAGGATCAATTCCCAGCAAGCACATGGCAGCTCACAACTGTCAGTAATTCCAGTTTCAGGGGAATCTGACCCCTTCATACCAATGCAAATACAAAAAAGTTAAAATTAATTTTTAAAAAAGAGTACGTGTAAGACTTCTGACTGCATGGTTTGAAGATTAGAATATCCAACAAAGCATTTTCCGGATCCCCTACATACTTAATGTGTAGGATTAGTTCCAGGGCAGAGGGTGAAGGCCAGGGATCAATCTCATGTTCTTTTTTCAGAAGCAATCCACTTTGTGTTTTCGGAGAGGGTCTTCCACTGGGACCTGAAGCCAGGCAACGTGCCTGTCTCCACCTCTCCAGGGTTAGGATTATAAGCAATTATACCGGCTTTTTACCTACAAGTCTCTACTCGGGTCCTCATTCCAGCGTGCATTTTACCAGCCAAGCCATCTCCAGCAGCCCCGAAGTGTCGCTGCCCACGGTGAGCCGGGCCCTCCTCCATCAACAAGCAATCAAGCAACTGCCTCACAAGCTTGCCCTGCAGGCCAATTTTCTCAACTGAGAGTCGCTCTTCCCAAACGACTCCAGCTTGTGTCAAGGTGACCTAAAACCAGCCAGCACACCCATGCACAACAGCAAGCGTTCTAAGCGTTTTTAAAAATACCAAAAGGGAGAGGGAGAGAGCAGTCGAGGC